TCTTTGGCATTGCCCTTCTTTGGGATTGGAATGACAAGTGACCTTTTCCAGTCCTATGGCCACTGCTGAGTTTTCCAAATTTGCAGGCATAGTGAATGCAGCACTTTCACAGCATCATCTTTTAGGATTTCAAATAGCTCAGCTGGAATTCCATCACCTCCACTAGCTTGGTTCGTAATAATGATTCCTAAGGTCCAGTTGACTTCACACTCCAGGATGTATGGTTCTAGGTGAGTGACCACACCATTGTGGTTATCTGATCATTAAGACCTTTTTTTGTATAATTCTTCTGTGTCTTCTTGCCTCCTCTTTTTAATCTTTTCTGCTTCTGTTAGGTCCTTGCTGTTTCTGTCCTTTATTGTGCCCATCCTTGGCATGAAGTGTTTCCTTTATATCTCCAATTTTCTTAATGAGATTGCTAGTTTTTCCCATTCTATTGTTTTTCTCTGTTTCTTTGCCGTGTTCATTTCAGGAGGCCTTTTTACCTCTCCTTGTTATTTTCTGGAATTCTCCATTCATTTGGGTATCTTTCCCTTTCTTTCCCTTACTTTTTGCTTCTCTTCTTTCCTCAGACATTTGTAAAGCCTCCTCAGACAATCTCTTTGCCTTCTTGCATTTCTTTGGGGTGGTTTTGGTCACTGCCTCCTATACTGTGTTACAAACTTCCATCCATAGTTGTTCAGGCACTCTGTCTACCAGATCTAATTCCTTGAATTTATTTGTCACTTCCACTGTATAATCATAAGAGATTTGATTTAGGTCGTATCTGAATGACCTAGTAGTTTTCCCTACTTTCTTCAGTTTAAGCCTGAATTTTGCAATAAGGAACTCATGATCTGAGCTTTGCTGACAGTATAGAGCTTCTGTATCTTCAGATGCAAAGGATACAGTCAGTCTGATTTTGATATTGACAATTTGGTGATGTCAATGTGTAGAGTTGTCTCTTGCGTTGCTGGAAGAGGGTGTTTGTTATGACCAGTGTGTTCTCTTGACAAAATTCTGTTAGCCTTTACCCTGTTACATTTTGTACTCCAGGGCCAAACTTGCCTGTTACTCCAGGTATCTCTTGAATTCCTACTTGAATTCCAATCCCCGGTGGTGACTTTGGTGTTAGTACTAGAAGGTCTTGGAGGTCTTCATAGAACCGTTCAACTTCTGCTTCTTCGGCATTGGTGATTGAGGCATAGACTTGGATTACTTGTTGAATGGTTTGCCTTGGAAATGAACCAGAATCATTCTGTTGCTTCTGAGATTGCATCCAAGTACTGCATTTTGGACTCTTTTGTTAACTGTGTGGGCTACTCCATTTCTTCTAAGGGATTCTTGCCCACAGTAGTAGATATAGTGGTCATCTGAATTAAATTTGCCCATTCCCATACATTTTAGTTCACAAATTCCTAAGATGTTGATGTTTACTCTTGCCATCTCCTGCTTTAACACGTCCAATTTTCCTTGATTCATGGACCTAATATGTCACGCTCCTATGCAGTGTTCTTTACAGCATTGGACTTCACTGTCACCAGCAGACACATTGACAGCTGAGCGTCCTTTCCGCTTTGGCCCAGGCACTTCATTGTTCTGGGAGGTGTTAGTAATTGTCCACCACTCTTCCTCAGTAGCGTGTTGGGCACTTTCAGACCTGGGGGACTCATCTTCCAGGGTCATTTGTGTTTGCCTTTTCAAACTGTTCATGGTGTTGTCGCGGCAAGAATATTGGTTGCTGCTGCTATGTCGCGGCAGTTGTGTCTGACTCTGTGCGACCCCACAGACGGCAGCCCACCAGGCTCCTCTGTCCCTGGGATTCTCCAGGCAAGAACACTGGAGTGGGTTGCCATTTCCTTCTCCAATGCTTGCATGCATGCATGCTAAGTCGCTTCAGTCATGTCCGATTCCGTGCAGCCCCATAGATGGCAGCCCTCCAGGCTCCTCTGTCCCTGGGATTCTCCAGGCAAGAACACTGGAGTGGGTTGCCATTTCCTTCTCCAGTGCATGCATGCATGCATGCTAAGTCGCTTCAGTCATGTCCAATTCCGTGCAGCCCCATAGATGGCAGCCCACCAGGCTCCTCTGTCCCTGGGATTCTCTAGGTAAGAATACTGGAGTGGGTTGCCGTTTCCTTTTCCAGTAGACCATGGACCATGTACGTTTCGTCAGAAGTTTTCACAAGCCCTTTCACCATGATAAGGCTATGATCCATGTAGGGATATGTGGAGGTAGATAGTAAGCAAATAAATAAAATAAATTAAGGTTAGTACTACGTATTGAGAGGAAAATTAAACAATCGTGTCAGAGTGGTCTTATGCTAAAAAGTGTTTTAGACTGAGTGCTGAGGACAATTGAGATGAGTCCTGGTTTATTAATCACTAAGACTATAAATCAGCTGTTTTGGTAATGACTTTTAAGAAATCAGCCACAAACTTAATATCAATTTCCTTCTTCTGTAAGTATGTCATATTTTGAGAACATCTATGTTCTCTGTATGTGGATGCATTCATGTTGGATAAAGCAGTGCTGTCCTCTCGTGGTCGTCGGTTTAATAGCATTGCCAGCTCTACTTGGGCAAATCTATTTCAAGGATGTACTCTATTGGGATTTACTTTTTAAAAATGGATGTCTTTTTTTAGATTGCTTTGTTTTAAAAAGGTCTCTATAATTACCATGCATTTGAAGATTTTATTTAATCTTAAATAATGCTTACAATAGTTTTCTGTATTCAACAATACTTATACAATAGAAAGAAAGATTACCTAGGAAATAGGAAGAAGCCAACTCTCAGAACTGAAAGCAGGTTAATAATGGTAAAAAATAAATAAATCAGACAAGGCGAATTGCTAATACAAGTGTGGAAAATCTGAGCCTTGAACTTGTTTATCAAAACATCTATGAAAGCCCCTTTTCCAAAAGTCTTATGTAAACCTTTCAACACTTTTTTAGTAGAAAACTTTATTAGAAGGACATACTTTGGAATTTGAAAAGACAACATTATTAAAAATAGTGAACTTTGTTAATAAAACTTCATATTAAACAAATTTCCATTGACATATCATATTCTTAAATTTAATCTTCTAAATATTTGGCCTGTTTCTTTTAAATACTGATTTTTTAACATTTGCTGTTTACAATGTAGACATTTTCTAACTCTTCTAAGTCTTTAATTGAAGAGTTTTTTTTAGAATAATGATTTTTATCTCCTAGTAGTTTCTTATGATTAAATTTATTTATTTTTAATTGAAGGATACTTGCTTTACAGTATTGTGTTGGTTTCTGCCAAACATCAACATGAATCAACCATAACATAGGCATTCCTAGTCGTTTTTTGTTTTGATTTATTATTTTAGAAAATACATGTAACGTGTTTGAGAAAGTATTAGGTAGCTGACAGAAAAATTTGACTTTTCTCAATCTAGGAAAAATGTATTGTGCCTGAAGTCTTCTTTTACCATAGTGTCTCTTTTTAAGACCCTTGATTGAGTAATTTATTTCCATTCTGTCTGATAGTTATCTCAATAAGAATAAAACTCATACAGACTGATAACAGTGCATATTTCTAGTTGAATCTTTATCAGTGATATATACAGTTTTAAATTAGTTACATTCCCTGGTCTAGTCCTTGTGTGCTATTTGAATGCAGTTTAAAAAATTGGTTTTGAATGCTCCACAGTGTTTTCATAATCATGGCATAAATCACAATAAATGTTGAATTTCTAAACATACTGTGAGCTGAGAGAGTGTGTAATTTAACTGGACAGTGTGGGGCTTTGTTTACATTTATTTCACAAAAATATATAAAGATATCTAGCTATTATTTCATCTGCAATGATCTTTTGCTGGCTAGGACTCCTGAAGCTACCTGGTCTCTTTTATGCTTAGCTTGAAAATGTTTGAGTTAATATCCTTTGCAGAAGGTAGGCTGGTAAGAATTCAATGAGTATCTTTGTAAGGACTTAAGAGGGGCAAAGAAAAGAGCCTCTGTGTATGTGGCACCTGTCATCTTGGTATTTTGATAGATTGACTTCAATATGGAAGGGAGATAAAGCCAGACCTTTATTTGAAGGAATGATAGACTTTTAGAATACATGTGTGTATTTGTTTTGTTAGTTGGTAACCAGTGATTCTCGTTTGACTCTCATTTCATACTAGCCTCAGCATATCTCTGCATGTGATGCCTCTTCTCATAATTAGGAGAATTCACTGTGAGAAAAACCAGTACCTTCAGGGATCATATCTAGATTTTTTTCATCTAGGCATAAAAACCAGATATTTCTTTAATAGAATTCAAAAACTGAATCAGTTTTCAATTATGAAACTGAATCACCTTGATTATGTTGTTTTAAATGTTAAGCATAATTTTTACCTTAATTAAAATAACATGATAAGCTTGACCTTCTTTAACCCCTAAAGAATTAAAAATGCCAATCTTAGAATTTTTATTCTAGTTAATGTATTTTTTTCTCTCTTCCACTTTGTAAACATGATGGAGAATGTTTGCTGAAGAGTATTTTGGGGATTTCTCTCTTCATTTTTGAAATCTAATTCTTAGTGAAAATAAAATCCTCAATGTTAGGCTCATTATTGCTATTCTAACATTGGCTTCCACCAATCATATTGCACAATCAGGAAAAAAGAGAAAGACTGCATAAGATCAACTTTATATACAGCATACAATTGGCAGAAATTAGTATCTAAAATAGGATGTGGTGGGTCAGTTGGGGTTCAGAGCTTTATGGCTTTTTAATTAGTCTTGGTGCAGAGCCTTTTCAGTTTAGTGGCTCCTTTTAATATTGCATAGAATGTCTTGCTATTCTAAAAAAGCACATTGATGAAATGATATTAATAATTGCCATCATTTCACTAATATATATGCTTCATTGATACGCTCACTGTTTGTTGCACCAGCCTATGGCCTTTATGATCACTTACATTAATGCAATAGAGTTCAACCTTATTTTGCAATACCCTAGTATTTTTATAATAAAAGAAGTATTTCTCTCCATCTGCAGGTGCTGCTGTTTTTTCAAACGAAGGAAAAGGAAAACCATACAGCGCCACAAATGACTCTGGACACAGACAGATCATGGGGAGTTACTTACGTGTTCATCTGCTGTCTTGTGATTGAAATCATCTCTGTAGTGACCACATATATTTTCAAGGACTCACTCTTAGAAACGAAAATGTCATACTTTCATACTTCCTTTTGTGGTTGTCTTACAGTCATTTTTTTTTTTTTTTCTAATTTAACTTTTATGGAAGCTTTAAAGTTTTGTCAAAACATGAGTGCTTTGCCGATCAGTGAATGGAATGGACCAATGAGGTGGTATTGATGACTTACACAGTTCTATAGAACATTTTTCAGAAGCTCTCCTCCAGTTGTAGAAAGCAGTACAGTATCTGAAATGGCAACCAGTTATATACCTAACCTGTTTTTTTTTTATAACTTCTGTAAGAGCATAATCAAACAGGAATTTTCTCCCCAGCGGATAAAGCAACAGAGAAAACAGTTGCCCAAATATTTAAAAGAAGTTATCCCTTGAGAAGTTCATTATCTGTGTGACATCTGCATTGATTTCACTGTTACCAATGGTACTGCTATTCATGAATCACATTAACATTCTCTCTGTGAAATCAAGGTACAGTCACTGCCCAGAGGTACTGAGGAAAAAGCTCTATGGGTTCAGCCGATGGTAGTTGGTAAAATGAATCACAAAATAGCGTGGTAAATACGAGCTCTGCTTTTGTTGCACCACTATGTGAAGTACAGTGTCGCCGAAGTGGCAAAAGCGCTTATTTTTTAAAAATGCGAAATATTTGTGTAATGTAACTTTATGCTTCCAGATAATGATGTATGTTAGACAGCAAGAAGTGAATACTTTGAGAAATGAGATATGTTGGAGTTTTTGGAGAAATACACTAGAAGGAATGAATGTGAATCTCGCCGCGTCGTATGAGATTGAAGTCCAAGGAAATCCCACTGAAGCCTGCTGCTGAACGACTGCCTTCTCCTTGAGCAGAAAGCCTTGGATGTGCCACGCCATGGTGTCTGTTTATTAATTCGTTGCTCTTTGATTAAAAAGGGCCCCCCAGCAATAAAAACGGGGTCCCCCTATTGCCATCTGCGCACATTAGTCTCTTGTATTCAACTTTGCTGGTTCTCTGGAATTTTCCTGCTTTTTAGTATAGTTTTGATGATTGAAAACTATTTTGGAAAGGATGGGTCAGGTGCTTTGTCCCCATAGTCTTTTGAAGTGCCTGCATATGAACAAAGAAGCGGTTCTGTTTTAAAAAAAATAGGAAACCCATTCCATTTTTCAAGAATGTTTTGTTTTAAGCCATACAGACACAAGTTATACTTTTGTCACATTTTCCTGGCCAGAATTTTCAAGGAGAGTTAACATAAAAAGACTGGCTAGAAAGATAACTGTATTGTTCAGATCTCATATTCACCTTTCGTTTATGAAATTGTTACTTACTCCTTCAATGCAGCCCCCTTTTTTTGTCTCTTTAAGTGCGTGCCTCTGGGCAAGCTTATTTATTTTTATTGTTTCAAGGTAACATTTAAAATGTGTAATTAAAGTAAATAAATCTACATTTTTGACTTCATTATTGCATTTCCAGAAATTTGCTTGTACTTTGTAATTTATTTTCTTATTAGCCAAAAGTTCAGCGTGTTGTTTTTGATGAATTAGGCACCCATATGAATAGCACAGATCAGGATGTTGTTTCTCATCGTTGCTTGGAATCCTATAAATGATCTTTATAATAAGTTCTTGATTTTAAAGAGCTACACTCAGCCTAGAAAACATATACTGTATAATTTGGTCAACAGTTTCCATTTTATCTATTTGTATACTGTCGTGATGTCTTAAACTACAGGAGTTACATACTGAGTTTTTATTTTTGTTTGCTTTGAGCAAGGTAGATGGATGTTTTAGCCATTATAATGTGAAACCACTTCTTTCTTTACAGTATTTGACCAAATTTGTGTGTCTATGATATTTGTAAATACATGCAATATCTGTATTTCTTATCATAAGCCTGTTTAGTTTTATTCTCAGTAGGGTTTTTGGACTGTACAGTGTTTATATGATCTGAACTCCTTATACATAAGAAGGTGTGTATATTAATCCAATTATGGACTTAAAATATTTTAAAAGTATAAATACCCTTATTTGCTGCAAAGACCAGTGTGTAGACATTTGCTTTTTAGCAATATTTTTAAGTGCTCCATTTTAATGCCAAGGAATAAGTCTTCTGGCGACACAAACTGGTCAATAATAGGTAATGCAGGTATGTTCAGGTTAAGCCAACAATGTTTTGCATTTTTATGCTTCTTTTCTGTCAACACTAATGAAGTCAACATTGCCTGAATGTCTGAATAATGAAACACATCCCTGTTTAAAAGTATGTAACTGAAAAAGAAATAAAAAATAAAGGTAGTTTTTTTAAACTTGCTCTTTCCCCTTTCCTCTGATCATGGGTAAAATAATGCCACTCACTAACTGAAGATAGAAATTTTTAAAGTTCAGTTTATGTGAATAAATTTAGTATAAGTGAAAAGCAGAGCTGAAGGAACATCCGTTTGTGTTTTTGTTTTTTGTTTTGCTTTGTTGGAACTCTATTGTAAGGAGTACGTACATAGCTGGGTATATCCAAGCTTTCTTTAATGAAAGTTTAAAAACATTTTTTTATTTCTCTGAACTCTTTAAGAGCAATTAATTAGAACTAATGCCATTAATAAACAAAGGAAATAAACTATCATTTCATTCCTTTTAAAAAATGAAGTCATACTATTATGTTTCCAGAATGAAGTATTATTGCTCTAGTTTGAAGTGAATGACTTTAAGATCATTGCAGATGCAGAGCAGATATCTGTGGCAGTATCTCACAGTTCATCATTGTGCTCTTTGCAATAGGGGGTTTTACAAGGTGCTGCCGTGCTTACTGAAAGATGGCAAAGGTAAGGTAAGTCAAAGCAGCAATGTTAAGTCCGTACGTGTCCACTAAACACCACCATTCAGAAACCGTAAGAAGATCTGGAGATCAAACATAGCATAGGTTAAGCATGGGTTAAAAGGCCCTATCTAGAAATAAATGACCTAAGATTAGAGTTTGACCTGAATGATTATATAGTTGATTTAGTCAGAGCGCCCTTGGCTTTGCAAGTGCTAGAAACCTAACGTGGCTTCAGCAGTAGGCATGCACATTATTGCATTTGAAAAGTCCATTCATAGGAGTGGCTTCAGGCATGCTCAATCCTGGTGTAAGGTTCAGGAATCTGTCTTTCTCTCTGTTTTGCTTCCTACCCTTCTGTTGTTGTCAGGGGGATTTTTCACACGTGATGGTAAAATGACCACGTAACAACTTTAGACTACTGCCTTCTTCATAACCTCAGCCAAAACAAAGGAGAGTTTCTCTCAACAGTTTCAACAGAATCCTGACATTTATTCCTTCATTGGTTCACATGCCCACCCCAGAGCCAATTACTGTGGCCCAGGAAATGTTCTCCCATCTTCACAGGACACACTGGACTCAGAAATGAGGTAGAAGGGGTGTTCCCAAAAGAAAATGAGGGTAGTGTTATTAGAAGGAAAGTGAATGGATTTTGTGCAGGCAAAATCTAGATATTTGCTGTCATGGTGAGAAAAATGAGTGTAAAGGGAAAAATAATTGCTTTAAATTAGAAAACATTTTTATTATTGAGACATATTAGTCAATATATTATTGAAAATCACATACACATTTGAAAAATGTTTTGGACTTAGGTAAAAATGGACATCATAAGTACCATATTTGATGTGTTTTTGTTTAGTTTTTAAAGTGTCTGTGATTACCATTGGATTAGTGGAGTGAAAAGCTAATCTTTCTACTAGAGAAGAAGTAAATGGAATTGTAAAGTTTTGCTGATGTTTGGGATGATGAGTTTCTTCTCTGCCCATCTCTAATATGGACCCACATATTATTTTCTTAGGAAATTTACCTCATAGGAATACATGGATCATAACCAAAGAAAGGACTACATATACAAGTATTATCAGGTAATACTGCTGGGATATGAAAATGGTTTTAGAAGGAACAGTTCACAGGAATGTTTACCATACTGTGATTTTGCTTAATATGAAAAACAGTCCTGCACTGCTCCAGAGTGGGGTTGGCAAACTTTGGTTTTATGGGACCAAAGGCAAAATTGAAGTTTTTATATACTTGCATAATGAGAAAACAAATTTCCAATAGTTTTGTATTGATGAAGTTCAAAATACATGTGAACACTTGAGTACAATTTTTTTTGTAATACAAGTCTACTGATAAGAATTGAGGTATTTTGAGAAGATAATATTTCACTTAGGAGTTTGAAATTGATCGCAAATGATCATCTGTTATGCTGATCTGTAATGTGATTTTATGTATTTCATCTTTGAAAATGTCTTCAGTTAGATGTTACCAAATACTGTATCAATCCATACGTATATGATTTTGTTAGAGCATATTCACCATTAGGAAGGTGTTTTATAGAATTTTCTTAGATTCTGCCCTTGATATTTGCCATTGACATATCATTACACTGCAGATTAGTTACTTCCTATTGAAGATTAGATGGATGCTCCTCATTTGTACAGTTAAGTGGATCCAAAAATGTAGCTGAAACAGCAGTTGAGTGTGAAAAACATATCCACCGCAAATTGTGTATGAATGGATACCTTGCTGCTTGTTTTAACTTGACAGCATAGGAAGTGGATAAAGTGGCTTGACATTACTTGTGATGTAAACAGCATTAGTTTTGTCATAATGATTTTGTTGCAGTATAAATGTCACATATAAGTGCTGTTTTGCCTTAAAGTTTTTAAGCTGATTTACTAAGAAATGTAATCAAATCTGCTGCAAAACCTAATATTCAAATCTATTTAGTATTCATTAATAATAGGTGAAGATAATACCTATTCAGAAAAAATTCAGTGTTGGTTCTGAGCTCAAAAAAACTTGCAATAAAACTTTCCTACTAATATCAAACTGCTGTGTAGTTGGGCAAGTCAGGATATTCAGTTTCTATTCCTAGCAAAAAC